ACTGTTTACAAAACTGCGGATCTGAATAGACCTGAAGAGGTGTTGTTTGGGTAGACCAAATTTTCCGGATAGCAGTTCAAAAGATGCAAAAGTGTTGTCAATGTATAAATCTTTAAATGATTTGATGCCAAGATTAGACCAGATAGTAAACGCACCATCAACTAGAGATGGAGGAAAACTGTGATTTGTGGTTATTGGGGCTAATATGGAATATGTTTGAAGACCAAAACAACATCTGGACTGATTCCAGATTCTCAGGGACGTTTTAACAATCACATTTTTGGTGTATGCAGAAGAGGGACTCTTAATGGGAGAATGAGCTAATGCTGAGAGTGACACTGGGCCACATGAAGCAGCTTCCAGTTTAAGCCAGATAGGCAGGACATGGTATGAGTCGAACTGTAGCCAAAATTGAATTATTCTGAGATTAGCTGCCCAATAATAAAACCTCAAATTTGGTAGAGCCATTCCTCCCAATGTCTTTGGTCTCTGTAAAAATTGCTTGCAGCTCCTTGGGATTTTCTTATTCCAAATAAATTCTGAGATAATGGTATCAATTTTGCAAAAAAACTTGTGTGGGAGGAAAATGGGAACACACTGAAACAGATATAAAAATTTTGGCAGGGTGTTCATCATGACAGAATTAATTCGGGCAGTTAAAGACAGGTTCAGCACTGACCACCGATTGAAATCCTCTTGAGTACGGGTCAGAAGGGAAAGAAAATTAGCTTTTTAGAGGTCTTTAAACTTGTCAGTTACCTGAACCCCTAAGTAAGTGAAGCTGTGCTTTGTAGTTTTAAATGGCAAACTATGGAGTGGGTACTCATGTGCTGCCTTATTCAGAGGAAATAAGTCACTCTTATTTAAGTTTAATTTGTAGCCTGATATAGCACCAAATGAGTCAAATATAGTGAGAGCGGCAGGGATAGAGACGGCGAAATCAGAAATGTAGAGGAGCAAATCGTCCGCATAAAGAGAAACTCTTTGCTCCACTCCATTCCGGAAAATACCTGTAATGCGGGGGTCACAACGAAGCGCAATGGAGAGGGGCTTGATGGCTAAGGCAAACAAGAGGGGGCTCAGGGGGCAACCCTGGCGGGTGGAGCGGTGGAGATGAAAATACGCTGATTGGGTTTTGTTTGTCCTCACCGAAGCTACAGGAGATGAATACAATAGCTTCACCCATGTAACAAAATTTTTACCAAAGCCAAACTTCTCTAAGGTGTAAAATAGATACCTCCACTCCACGCGGTTGAAGGCCTTTTCCGCATCTAACGATACAACAGCTTCTGGCACAGAGGTCGTGGGATGATGATAGATTGTGTTAAAAAGTCGTCTTAAGTTGAAAAAAGAGTGCCTATCTTTAATGAATCCAGTTTGGTTAGGATAGATAATGGTAGGTAGCACAGTTTCCAAACGTAGGACAGGCATTTTGGACAGCAATTTAAAATCTACATTTAACAGACTGATCGGTCGGTAGGAAGAGCACTCAAGGGGATCTTTAATCTTTTTAAGGATAAGAGAGATAGAAGCTTGATTAAGTGTTGAGGGTAAACTAAGAGATATAAATGATTCATTGAACATATCTAACAAAATGGGGGCTAATTTGTGTTGAAATTTTCTGTAAAACTCTACTGGATAACCGTCCGGCCCTGGGCATTTGCCACCTTGCATAGATGCAATAGCTACAAAGAGTTTGTTAGTGGTTATTGGCAGCTCCAATTTTTCAACCGTGTCAGGGTGAACCGGAGGAATTTCAAGTGTAGCGAAAAAATTGTCAAAGTCTTGCATAACCGAATTAGTTTCAGATGTACAGTACAGGCCAAAAGTTTGGACACACCTTCTCATTCAATGCGTTTTCTTTATTTTCATGACTATTTACATTGTAGATTCTCACTGAAGGCATCAAAACTATGAATGAACACATGTGGAGTTATGTACTTAACAAAAAAAGGTGAAATAACTGAAAACATGTTTTATATTCTAGTTTCTTCAAAATAGCCACCCTTTGCTCTGATTACTGCTTTGCACACTCTTGGCATTCTCTCCATGAGCTTCAAGAGGTAGTCACCTGAAATGGTTTCCACTTCACAGGTGTGCCTTATCAGGGTTAATTAGTGGAATTTCTTGCTTTATCAATGGGGTTGGGACCATCAGTTGTGTTGTGCAGAAGTCAGGTTAATACACAGCCGACAGCCCTATTGGACAACTGTTAAAATTCATATTATGGCAAGAACCAATCAGCTAACTAAAGAAAAACGAGTGGCCATCATTACTTTAAGAAATGAAGGTCAGTCAGTCCGGAAAATTGCAAAAACTTTAAATGTGTCCCCAAGTGGAGTCGCAAAAACCATCAAGCGCTACAACGAAACTGGCACACATGAGGACCGACCCAGGAAAGGAAGACCAAGAGTCACCTCTGCTTCTGAGGATAAGTTCATCCGAGTCACCAGCCTCAGAAATCGCAAGTTAACAGCAGCTCAGATCAGAGACCAGATGAATGCCACACAGAGTTCTAGCAGCAGACCCATCTCTAGAACAACTGTTAAGAGGAGACTGCGCCAATCAGGCCTTCATGGTCAAATAGCTGCTAGGAAACCACTGCTAAGGAGAGGCAACAAGCAGAAGAGATTTGTTTGGGCCAAGAAACACAAGGAATGGACATTAGACCAGTGGAAATCTGTGCTTTGGTCTGATGAGTCCAAATTTGAGATCTTTGGTTCCAACCGCCGTGTCTTTGTGAGACGCAGAAAAGGTGAACGGATGGATTCCACATGCCTGGTTCCCACTGTGAAGCATGGAGGAGGAGGTGTGATGGTGTGGGGGTGTTTTGCTGGTGACACTGTTGGGGATTTATTCAAAATTGAAGGCACACTGAACCAGCATGGCTACCACAGCATCCTGCAGCGACATGCCATCCCATCCGGTTTGCGTTTAGTTGGACGATCATTTATTTTTCAACAGGACAATGACCCCAAACACACCTCCAGGCTGTGTAAGGGCTATTTGACCAAGAAGGAGAGTGATGGAGTGCTGCGGCAGATGACCTGGCCTCCACAGTCACCGGACCTGAACCCAATCGAGATGGTTTGGGGTGAGCTGGACCGCAGAGTGAAGGCAAAGGGGCCAACAAGTGCTAAACACCTCTGGGAACTCCTTCAAGACTGTTGGAAAACCATTTCAGGTGACTACCTCTTGAAGCTCATGGAGAGAATGCCAAGAGTGTGCAAAGCAGTAATCAGAGCAAAGGGTGGCTATTTTGAAGAAACTAGAATATAAAACATGTTTTCAGTTATTTCACCTTTTTTTGTTAAGTACATAACTCCACATGTGTTCATTCATAGTTTTGATGCCTTCAGTGAGAATCTACAATGTAAATAGTCATGAAAATAAAGAAAACGCATTGAATGAGAAGGTGTGTCCAAACTTTTGGCCTGTACTGTATATAATGAAGCATAATAGTTTTTAAATTCATCATTAATCTTTTTGGAGTCTAATGTAGTATCTACCAACGTTCTAATTTGGGGAATTTGGTGAGAAGAGGCAGATTGTCGTAATTGGTGAGCCAGTAACCTGCCAGCCTTGTCACCCTGTTCATAATAATTACTTCTGGGTTTAAGGAGTAGTTCGACAGCATGGTCTGTAGTCAGTGTGTCAAATTCAGACTGGAGAGAGAGGCGTTCTTTATACAATCTGGTGTTGGAGAAATGGCATATAAACTGTCCAACTGAGAAATACGTTTCATTAATTCATCCAGTTTTTTCCGTTTTGGTTTTCTCTCATAACTTACAAAAGAGATTACTTGCCCTCTAATGTAAGCTTTTAAGGTTTCCCACAGTACAGATGCAGAAATATCAGGGGTCTTATTTATACTCAAAAATATATCGATTTGGTTGGAAATAAATTCTACAGATTTTTCATCCGAGAGCAAACGTGTATTAAAACGCCATGGGGTCTGTGTATGAGCAATCCCCTTAAATTGGATACTCATAGTCACAGGGGAGTGATCAGAAATGACTCTAGCCGCATGAGCTCACGGAAGGGAGAAATCTGTTATCTACCAGAAAGTAGTCTATTCAAGTGAACTTGTGATGTACGTGGGAGAAAAAGGAAAATGTTTTACCAGAGGGATTAAAAAACACGCCAGGGATCCGAAATAGCAAATTCGTCCATAAAGGTCCTAATTGTTTTGGCAGATCTCGAAGGGGAAGTGATCGTCGTAGAAGAACGGTCCATCTGATTGGGTCATTAATGGAGTTTTATCTTCATCTTTTATTCTTTGACACTAAACTGCAGACATGAGGCTGATATTTATGAGGTCAGATCAGAACTGATGACATTTACACTGAGATTAAAATTGAGTTTTTAAAATGTCAACTCCAAATTTAAAACTGAAAAACAGGATTTAAACATTTGAAAATGACATTTGTGTGTCACATTTACAGTTTAGACTTCCAGTGTGGAGCTGTACTGAGCTGTACAGTAAGTGAACTAAGTGAAGCCTCAGCTCTAAGTGAAACATCAGGATGTTAGTGAAGACAACCTACACTTCCTTCATATATCACAATAAACTGGCCTTTAATGACTTGATCCTGTTTAACCTGTCAAAATCCCACATTTCATTCAATCAAATCACTTCTTACTGTGTGTAATTATTGTAAATGTATTACATTTAATAAACACCTCTAATTCATGTCAATGCAGCAGATTTAAAACCTTAATATAACAAATCAAATCCTACACTGAATCATTCACTCCAAAGTCACTGCGTCTTTATTGAAGTAGCAGCACGTTGTCATTAATATTAATGAGAGCTCTTTTTCACTTTTTGTATTTTACAGTTTTTAAGCTGCATCCTGTTGAGTTCAGCTGTTTGGAGTTTCCATTTTCTAAACTTCTACATTCTAAACCTTCTTCAGCTCTGAACACATTATTAAACACTGAATGATTTCAAGCAGGAACATTGTCTTCTAAACTTACATCTTTTATTCTTCATTCAGATTGAGGGGCTGCAGTTTGTCAGAGATCAGCTGTGTTTCTCTGGTCTCAGCTCTGAAGTCCAACCCCTCCCATCTGACAGAGCTGGACCTGGGTAGAAACAACCTGCAGGATTCAGGAGTGAAGCTGCTGTGTGATTTTCTGGAGAGTCCACACTGTAGACTGGAGACTCTGAGGTCAGTTCACTGACTCTCTGTTACTGTTGTAGATCTTACATGTTTAACAATTGAAGCTAATTTATGTACAAACATAACTTCTATCTATAAAGTTGTGAATGAACTTTTGTTCATATTTTCATGTTTCTTGTATAAATGTAGTCTGCAGTCACAAAGACTTGTGTTTCTTTAATTAACAGTTGATTTATTGAATCTTTGTCAAACACAGCAGTTTACAGGAGAAAACACAGAAGTGGAATATCAAAGATTAAACAACAGAATAGAATCAAATAAAGTAATAATCACACAGGACCAACTGTGTGTGAAATAAACACAACATTTACACACATTAGTACACAGAGATTCAACTCCACATGTCTACACAGATGCATGTGTGCATTAGTCAAACATATGTGGTCATCAACCCACAACAGACTGTGAAATATTTCCCATGTAGCTCCTAAAAGCAGAGCAGCATTTATCAGAGAGATGTGGTTTTCTTTTGAGACTGAAGATGATTTTTTCTGATGTCATGTACGAGGACATTTCTTTGAGCCACATGGAGACAGGGGGAGGATCTGCACTTTTCCATCATACAGCAATACATTTATTAGCAGCCATCATGGCCAGTTTGATCAAGTGAAGCTTGTTTCTTTTGGAGAGAGGGATATCAGATATGTTGCCTAGTCAGGCTAGTTTAGGTGAACAGGAGATCTCAAAGCCAATCATCTCTTTAAGAATCTCCAATATTGATCCCCAATAAAGTCTGAATTTATGACATTTCCAGAAGATGTGAATAAGGTTACCTGTCTCTGTTTTACATGGAGGGCAAAGATGTGAAATGGATTCATTGATCCTACGGAGTCTTTGTGGGGTCAAATAGGTTCTGTGGCTAATGTTGAACTGTAAAGCTTATGGCGGCTGTTCTATGAGAAGGATAGTGCTTCCTCACATATTGATTCACATCTACTGTCTTCAAAAGTACATTCCAGCTCCTGCTCCCACTTGGTCCTCAAGTTTAGCAGTTTAGTCTCTGTGAGGACCAAAATTCTGTTATATGTATATTTAATTTTATTTCTTTATTTGCACACACGTAAAACTGCTTTAAATCTAAATAGTATAAAAGGAATATTTAAGAAATGTATCAGCAGAGGTCAAGAAGCCACAGGCTTATACAAACAGACCTCTCCTCAACTTCAGGAGAAAAACAGCAGGGCTAAACTGAAAATATACAGGAAAAATACAACAAAAGATAAATGACAAAGACGCAAAACCACTAACTATAACCCCGTGGACACAGAGACTTGAAGAGGTTTACGCAATGGAACGTATGACAGCAAGTCTGCAACTGAAAATGGACACTTTTAAACAAAGGTGGACTCAAGTCACGCTATATTTGGTAATCTAATTGAATCGATTCAGGTTGTGGTAAATGACGGTATTATAATGGTGTATCATTAAAAAATGCCATTCTTGTGTTCCTATGTAACTGAACCTGCTGTGGTGTGTGTGTGAATGTATATATGTATATGGAAATAAAAAGTTTGTAAGTCCCGTGCACAGCAACTAAGTGCTTCTTCTAGGTGCCAGCTGGTGCAGGATAAATCACAGTCAAAAATTAAAAAAACAGGGACTTCCAGGTGATGCCATGTGTGTGATGGTCGCATAGATAGTTGCTCTGACTCAATCGGTCTTAAAAACATCCCCTCCACCGGAATATTGCTACTCGAGGACGTCAAAAGACGAGAGATGAGTGGGGGGAAATCATAGAGAGGTCAGAAAAGTCTGAAAGGGCGAGTACACGAACAGTCAACGTCGAAAAAAGAACAAGACAAGCCCAGCGACATGCTAGTTAGCGGAGAGGATACTAGTGAGGACGCAAAGGAGCTAGGGCTGCTCTGTGAAATCTCCAAAGACATTCGCAACTTCAAATAAGAAAGAAATACGGTGATCTCCGAGCTCAAGGGCGACCTAAGAAAGGATTTGAAGGAAGAGTTTGATACGTTTAAACTCGAGCTGAATCAGAAGCTAACGGAGGTGGGCGCAGCCCTCCATGATCAAGGCCAAGCTGTCACCGAAGCAGAGCAGCGCATCTCGAACATGGAGGACAACGGGATGGTAACTAAAGAGGCTCTGCTCTGTCTGCTTAAAGAACAACGCAAGCTGCAGGAAAAAGTAACGGACTTAGATAGTAGATCTAGAAGAAATAACATCCGTGTTTATGGCATACCTGAGGACTCCGAGGGCAACTCGATGATCAAGTTTGTGGAAAACTTGTTGACTACGGAGCTCCCCTTACCCAATGGCACATCTTTGCAAATTCAACGCGCTCACAGAGCCTTGACACAGAAGCCGGAACCCGACGCTAATCCGAGATCCATCGTAATAAATTTCCTGCAGTTTGATGTGAAAGAGACAATCCTGAAGCTGGCGTGGAAGAAGAAAATTCACATAAACAACAAACAGATTTTCTTTGACCACGACTACGCCTACAAGGTGATGGAGAAGCGTAGAGCCTACGGGGAAATTAAAAAGGCCCTTAAAGAGAAGGGTATTCATTTCCAAACGCCGTTTACGAGGATCCGAATCCACTGGAGTGACAGGACCCGGACCTACGAGGACGCACAGGAGGCTGCAAGGGAGCTGAGGTCGCGGGGCATCCTGGTGTCTATAAGAGAAGAACCTGAGCGTAGAGGAGCATACGGAGGGCGTTTCCATGGCAACAAAAACACTTGGAGACACAAGTAAGAGAGAAACTCCAGGAGTTCAGGAGAGCGCCTCAACACCAGAAGAACGGAGATGACATGGAGCAGTGACTGGGTAAAAGGAGGTAACTTTTAGTTACTCTCCCCTCTCTTTTGTTCTTAAACATTTTAAATCACCGATTGAACTGTATAGTAGTATAATATGTCGTATTGAAGTAGTTGGACTAATCTAGGGGATATGGAGTGTTCACACAGGTCAGTCATTCCACCACTAGGGAGGGCCCCAACCACACGGGAGGGCAATATCCCTCTACCCGCCAACAGGGACTGTAAAGGGGCTGATGTCCCTTTTTCCTGCAAAGTCTCTGTGTTCTTGAGTTTGTATTTTTGTTTTCTGTTCAAAACTGGGGAGATCTGTTTTTGTTCAGTTCATGGTATGACATATATCATTGTTCAGGTTCTTACTCCATATATTATGGCATTGAAAACAAAAATGTTGAGTGTGGTCACATGGTTAAGGTAATTTCTCTAAATGTCAACGGGCTCTTGAGTCCAGCCAAAAGAAATAAAATATTCACTAAATTAAAAAGAGAGAATATAGATATCGCATTCCTGCAGGAAACCCATATGACAGGGGGTGAGCATGAAAAACTAAAAAGACAAGGATTTAAACATGTATTTTTTTCTTCAAACAGATTAAAACACACAAGAGGGGTAGCTGTAATGATCTCAGGAGGAGTTATATATGAACATAGAGCTTCAACGAAGGATAGAGAAGGCAGATTTGTGTTAATAAAGGGAAAAGTGGATGGAAACTTGTTCACCTTTTATAACGTATATATCCCCCCTGGTTCAGAGCCTGATTTTTATGTACAAATTCTGGATAGGATTGCAACAGAAGCACAGGGGACACTTGTATGTGGGGGGGATTTTAACTTTGTTTTAAACCCACATCTGGACTCATCAGGAACAAGAATATCACAATCCAAAAAAACAACAAAGAGAATAAATTCAATAATTTCAGAAATAGGACTGATCGATGTTTGGAGATTCCTAAACCCATCAGTTAAAGACTTCACTTTCTTTTCACCCCCCCATTCAACATATTGATTTAATTATTTTTTAATTTTTGGAACGGATGCCAGCAGGGTGCAAAATTGTCATATTGGTACAATGGAAATTTCGGATCACTGCCCAATATATCTGTCCTTAACAACAAGCAATATAAGGAAGCTTACTCACTGGAGATTTAGTTGTAGTATCCTGAATAAACAAATGAATGAAAAGCTCACCAAAGAAGTATCAGACTACCTAGAACATAATGACAGGTGTCTCCCCCAGTGCTCTGGGATGCATGTAAAGCGGTACTGAGGGGGAAGGTGATCGCAATAACATCTTTCCTTAAAAAACAAAGGGCAGAAAAACTTATCACTCTTCAAACTGAATTGAAAAAAATAGAATCTGAGCACAAGAATACAATGGATCCTAAAATAAAAGTGGAAATGTAAAAAAAAGGAACCAGATTGAAGAAATATATGCACAAGAAATTCAAAGGAAACTACTATACACCAAACAAAAATATTATGAAGGAGGTAGTAAATACACAAAAATATTGGCCTATAAATTACGAAAACAGCAGGCAGACAACACAATATTTAAAATAAGAGACCCAAAAACAAACAATATCCATCACCAAACGAAGGAAATAAAATATAGTTTTAAGGAGTACTATGAAAAATTATATTCACAACCTCAGGTTGAAAATGATAAAAAAATGGAGTCACTGCTTGAATCATTGAATTTGCCGGTCCTTACAGAAGATCAAAACAAATTATTAATCTCACAAATAACAAAAATAGAAATATATTCAGCTATATCCAGATTGAAAACTAATAAGTCCCCGGGCCCGGATGGATTCACCAAAGAGTTCTACAAGAGTCTGAAAGAGGTTCTGACGCCAGTTCTATTAAACACATTTAACTGGGTTTTGACAAAAGGAGAAACCACAGCCTCTTGGAAAGAAGCGATTATTTCAGTCATACCGAAAGAAGGAAAAGATAAATTAGATTGTGCAAACTACAGGCCAATTAGTATACTTAATCTAGATTACAAATTTTTCACTTTCAGTAATTGCTAAAAGACTTTTAAATATTTTACCCCAAATAATTAACATGGACCAAACAGGATTTGTGGTGACACGTCAGACCCATGACAATATTAGAAGATCTTTACAAATAATTAGACATATAAAAGAAAAGAAATTGCAGGCCATGTTAATAAGTTTAGATGCTGAAAGGGTTGAAATTTTTAAATGGTTTGCTTACGACCCAGTCTTTAGACCGGGCACATATGATACCAGATTCAAATGCTGGACAGAAAATGGGCTTACTGCGTATTGTACATTTCTAAATCAGGGCGAGGTTTCAAGCTTCCAGGACCTGAAAGACAATTTCAAGCTTCAAAATCAGGACCTTTTCAGATATCTACAAATCAGAGACTTTATTGGAAAGAAATTTCTAAAGGATAACCAAATTCAAATGGGACATGAAATACTTGACATTTCCATTTTTTCAAAAGGCCTATAGAGATGCCAAATATCAAAAAATAATATCTAAATTATATGTAGCTTTACAAAATCTTAAAGGAGACAACACTTTGGCTGTCAAAGCAAGATGGGAAGCAGAGGGCAATATTACAATAACACAGGAAGAATGGAACAGGATCTGCAAATAGCAATGGCAAACGACAAGTTCTCTCTTCTGGAGAGAATTTAGTTGGAAGAACATGTCTCGTTTCTTCTCCAGCGCTAAAGACTGGGTATTCTAATCAGACAGCTTGCTGGAGATCATGTGGCAATGTAGTAGCTAACCACTTTCATATTTTTTGGAATTGCCCCTCTGTGGCTCCATTTTGGAGAGCTGTCCACGGTGTCCTGGAAGCAGCCTTTAAGAAGAAGGTCAAACTCAATTTCAAAACCATGTACCTTGGTGATCTAGAAGAACTTTGCTGGGCAAAGCCAGATAACTATCTGATTCGAGTGTTATTGGTTGCCTGTAAAAAAGCCTTAAATGGCTGAAAACGGAAGTGCCAACTATGAATGAGTGGATTGATATAGTTTATAACATATACACAATGGAAAGAATTACATTCAAACTAAGAAATCAAGTAGATGTCTTTGAAGAATATTGGTTCAAATGGCTTGCTCATGTGTCAACTATAAGGCCTGACTTTGTATAATATATCTATGCAAAGAGTGTTTGTGAATATGTAAATTCATTTTAATTCCATTTTGCTGGTCCTTCCCCCTCTCTCTCTTGAATGTAGACTTGAGAATGTAAAATGTAATTCTAAGAAACAAAAGATATAAGTGCACACGAACATTTAAGTACAATGCCAGATATACAAAACTCAGACCCTCCAGATCATCCCCAGGATGTTTGTTCTTATGTTGTTTAGTTTATTGTTTTCTCCCCCTCCTTGTTGGGGTGTGTCTCTTTTCATTTGTATGAATACCTTAAATGAAAACTCAATAAAAAGTAAATGACAAAAAAAAAACAACCTCCTGAACAATGAACACTGAAAGAATTCTAACCAGGAGAAGTTTCAGCTGGTTGAAATCTGCAATCCTCACCGCTAGATGCCAACTAATCCTGTACACACAAGTGTGCACAAAGAATGTATATTACATTTAAAGAAGTAACTATAGCATATGTAGTGGATTAAAGTGCATCAGAATGATATCACAGCAGTAGTCACCTTCCCGTCTTTATCCACCCCTGCTGTCTGGCCAGATGCCACTCGCACCTTGTCAGGATGGAGGGTAAGACTGTAGAGAGAACAAACAGAATTTTACTTAATAACAAAGAGGGGTTGTACAAAGCTATTCATATATATTCCCAATTGCAACATATCCACGTATGTAACTGTATTCACCATTGCAAAATGACAAGTGTACTTTATGGTCAAATAAAGAGACACCTTTTGGTTGTGTTGTCTCTTCACTCCAGCACATTGGATTTGAAACAAAACAACAACTCGGAGGTTTAAGTTCTGACTCTCTGCTTTATTTGAGGATGTTTACATCCAATTTAGTTGCACAGTGTAGGAATTGTATCCATTCCCAGGTCCTCAAATACTGCTGCTTTGAGTTGATGGTTTGGATATTTGATGAGCTGGGAATGAGATATTTTAGGGGACATAAACAGAAGAGAAACACATTGTGACTGGAGGGGTCTTTAATTATACTCATACAGCTGCATTAATGGGTTGTCTTTGGCTTCTGGTGGGCAGTGAAACAAGCAGTAACATCTGACATATTTTCACCTTATAATGATAAATGTGTTTGAAAATAGCTGCCTGTTCAGCAAACACAGAGCAACATTAGCATTCTAGGTGGTGTTTGTGTCCACCTGGTGAATGTAAGTTTAATATTCTCTCACTTTTAGATCTGATTTTGGTCTCCACCAGCTCCTGAGACGAATATCTGTTTCTTTAGCTACTAAATGTTTCAATATGTTCACCTGTTAGTCTCTAACTGTGTCTGTCTGCATCTTTGATTTGCTTAAATGGGTTTGGAGTTGTGTTGACTGATGGCTAATTCTGCCACTTGGAGAAACATCAACCAATCAGAGCTTTGTAGGCAGGATTACGGCCCTACAAACTAGCTACCTAATTATATCCATTCATCATCTTAGTACCAGCTGTTTATATCTACATAAGGAGCAGGTCCTCCACCATGAGAGTCCGCCATATTGTTTCTACAGTAGCACAAACAGAAAAAACAAACACAGGATATAGATAGGGCCAACAGCATTTTGCATTTTCGTGTCTAACACCACAGTTCTCCTACACGCTTGGCACACGGGAGAAGTTTCAGTTGGAACATACTTTCTACATATTTCTTAAATAGTCTTGAAGAACCTGCTCCTAGTAGTTGCTATAGTGTTGTAAAAATGGTGTTGGTGGGATGGATACAATTAACATA